AGTGAAATTACGAAACTGATAAAAATTCTCTTGAGGGTTCCCATGACTACATCAGAGGCAGAACGCTGCTTTTCAACATTGAAAAGAATGAAAACTTTTCTAAGAAGCACTAAAAATTCGAAAAGACTAAATGCGCTTGCATGGCTTTCAATAAAGAAACATTTCCTCAGTTGTCATCCAGAGATCAAGGAGAAAATTATTGATCTTTTCTCGCAAATTAAAACAAGAAAAATGGATTTCATTTTGAAATGAATAGACAAACATTGAGCTGTAACAATTTTGGTTAAAGTAATTCAGAAATGTTGAATTTTTTTCTTGTAAGATTTCATGAAGTTTCAAAATAATTTTTTTTATATAAATATTTGTTTCCTTTTAGACAATTTTAAAACAAAGGTTAAATTTTTTTGGAACAGCACCCCCACTAATTTTAGCCACGAGCCACCACTGGCGTAATTGATAAGGTCTCCAATCATAGGAAAATAATTTGGTACAGAATAAAATGAAATAAATCTGAAAAGATTCAGATTTTAACGGTCGTTCAAAAGAGCTCTTTTAATTTTTAATACGGTTTTTTAGTAAAGATTATCAATAGAGATGCCCAGAAGAAATAGCGAAATATTTTACATCGAAATCGAAATCGAGTGAATGGTTAGGCGGCATTTAGTAGCCTCTGCTACTTTAACCGTCTCTGTTGGAGATATGCCCTAAGGCGTTGGGAAGAATTAAAAATTAAGGTGATTTACACCGCACCGACAAAGGTGAAACAGGAACATGTGCTAATGCACGTGAGTTGGTCAAGTAGACTTACTGAGGGGGGTTCAAGCATCTGGCCGCCGTACACGCTGTGATGTATCTTCACTAGTTAAAGAAAAATGATACGTCGAGGCCAGTCACGTGGGTGGTCACCCACCCAAGTACTGACCCCGAGCTCTGCTGCTGTAAACAGGGGAACCTGTGTGTTGAAAAAGTGAAAAGAAATCGTAAACATAGTGAAATTCCCTCAAATGCATCTAAGCTGGTGATTACTCTTCACTTTCAGCAAATCTCATCAGTGTCATGGCTGCTTTGAACCCGGCAGTAAAACTTCTCAGCCGTGGTTTTTCAGCGCGGATCTTCTCAACGTGCTCACCATACTGTTCAGAAATTTTTTTATTTTAGGGATCTTGGATCCAGTTTATGATATCCTTGTACTCTGTGGGTGGGTTTTTTCCAATTTTTTCTTTACTCTATCACTGTAGAGAGGTTTCATCTGGGTTTTACTGCTGTCTTCCTCTGTTTCGATGAATTTCGGAAAATCTGCCGGCGTAGGTATCTTAGCTGCTGGCTTCGCCTGCTGCTTCTTTTGCTTCATAAGCGCTTTCTTGTACACGGGGCAACCCCTGTATGGAACTTACATGCGGCAGTGAGCAGAAGAATGCACTTAGGTTTTTTTTTTTCTTCTGGCTTTAGATGGGCATTCTTTCCTTACTTCCCATGGTTGCTGTCCACACTTGCAGCATCGCTCAGGATTTGAAACAAAGATGTTGCGAATGTCCCTATTCTTGACATCTATAGCATTGAATTTTTTCACTCGTTTTTTTGGGAAGCAAACTTTTCGAATCTTGACATTAACACTTAACATATTGTTGAAGTCCATGGATTGCAGCACGTCCTTCCTTCGTTTTCTTCAACTCCAACAGGAAAATCGGAAGTTTTCTCGATAGCGTCTTCCTCTACGTCTGGAAAACTGCTTGAACTTTACTTATCGGGAATTTCCATTCTTCTCCAAGATCTGCCTGGATTATTTCTTCCTTCATCATGGATGGGAGGCCCTTAAGAACAACCTTAATAGGTTTTTCCGCTGAGTAACTGGAAAAGTATGAAATGGTTATATTTCTTTTTCTGCAAAACCAGAGTTGCTTTTCTGTAATCGTCTACTGACTTTAATTAACATATAGTAGTTTCATTTTCATATCGGCTTCGAATTCTTCACTGCAGGTATTGATGAGGATTTCATGAATTTTAGGCCAATCCACTTCGCTTTGCTGGAAAACTATTTAGGGTGGAGTTTCCTCTTTTTCGGCTCCTCCTTCTTCTTCCATACCTTCTACTTCACTTAGCTGCTCAACTCGATTTTCCGTCGTAACTTCCATTGGAGCTTCGTTTTCTGATACTTTCGCGGTTTTTTTAGGAGAAATCCATTCTTGTTCCCTGCTGTTTGTTCCTCTTTCAGTTATCTGCCCTGGATAAAATTTTTTTTTTCGGAATGTCTCTACATCCATCTCACCCTTAGTTCTTTTATGAAAGTAATTGCAAATTACGGTCAAAATCCAAATTTCGCAATCTGGTCCCGGATTTCTTTTCAGAACATGACTTGAATTTTGGAATGCCCTCATCATTTCCCATTGATAAATCTTCTGGTGTCTGTTCATCAGTAGTTTCTCCATTCAGTGTTTGAATGTCTCTTTTTTCCTTACCAGGTTTAACATCTTTCTTCTTACTTAATTGTTCGCTTTCCGTGTCTGACATAGTTTTCGCCTTTTTCGCTTTACTTTTCTTTCTTTGGCCATAAGGATGAAATCCTCTTTATTCAATGGATAGGTCTTGTTGGTTTTGGACGAACGCTCACTTCGGTAGTCCTCTTCATCAGAACTATCGAGTGGTGTCCTATAAAAGGACATTTTTGTTTTTCGGTTTCGCAAATCAATGACTTATTTATAGACACAAAATTTTTAACTACACATCGCAAAGGAAAAAGAATTCGTGTCTGAAATATTTTACAGGATACTAGATTCTTATATATATGCGGCTTAAGTGTTTGTCGCCGATAGTTTATTGGTTGCTTGCGTAACTGTACTAGCCAATGGTTTCTCATACATTTGGTTTTCAAATCCAAGTTCAGAATTTTCTTTTATTGTTGCCCAAACTAGATATAAAATACAATGTTGCCAATAAATGCATTTTCCTTTAAAATTATGAAATCTGTTTTTGTATTTTAAACTGAATTTTCAGCTGAACGCAAATTGTCAGGGGGAACGTGAACATTTGTTTGCATTGGCAATCATCTGTTTTAGAAATGGTTTACAACTGTAATTATATCTTTATTCCACGGAATCTGTTCACGAGGATACTTGTTATTTAGTATTCTTGCTAGAGTGGGATCAAGTATTTACACTTTGCATTTTAAACAAAAATTCCTTTTCTGCAGTAAATAAACTAATTCAGTTTGAATTAGCAGATACCTTTGCACAAATCATTTTAATTACAATTTATAATATCTAGAACAGCGGTCCTTTCGTATGACCGCCGGGCTTTCTAGTAGTATATGTTTAGACTAACATGGGAATGTTATATATCCTCTGTATATTTGAAAAGTTAAAAATACATATAACGTATGTATATAAAAATATTCAATGTTTGTAATTAGACATATCATGAACTAAATTCACTTTTATTTAAATCAATCGGGTTAAAAAGTAAAAAATAATATTCTTAAAAACCACATCTGTTACTTTTAAATTGCTCAGTTTGTTAATTTATATTAGGCAGATTAATGTGCAATAATAATATCCTACGTTTTATTTTGAATGGCAAGAGATTCGAATGAAAGGTGAAACAACGCAAAATCATGCTTCGAGACTAAGAGCTAATCATGAAAGTGATATGAATAAGAGAAGTTACATCTCTTAAGCATTATACATTTAAATACAGTCATTGCTTATATCCACATATTTTTCTAAAATGTGATATATCTTTTCGATCCGTTTATGAAAAAGGGTGTCATTTTCATTAAACTTATTTTCTCACAAAACTTAGCTTCATAAAATGAGAAACACTGACCATTCACATCCTTTTCAGTTTCGAGAACAATACAATACAGGATTTGCTAGATTTTAGTTAAAAGAAAGTTATAAGAAAACAAACCATTCATTTTTTATTATTATGAATATCAATGAAATAAGTTATCCCAAATTTTCTTATAATGCATTTCACCTTTGATACGTGCAACCTATTGGCTGACATTTTTCCCAATCTTTAGCGTAAATTGCTAATCTGTGAATTCGAGATAAATTGCAACTTTCTAATGTCAAAACCTCTACAATTGACCGCTGCTTTAAAATCGGTTCAGGGGTAGTTGTCATAAGTAACGAATCAAGGAGGTTAAACAAAGAAATGTAAAGAGTATTTGCACCTGACAATTGCATTTTCCAAAAGCAGTTGCATGTGATTTCTGTACCATTTACTAGGATGGCATACTGTAGGAGATATTACTTAGCAATCAAATCATATGAATAGCTGCATCAGATGAAGTTAAATCTCATACTATGATAAAAATAAAACCTTTTCTGAAAACCAAAGGAGGATTAAAAAAACTTTATAACTGGTTTCATCGAGCACAAGGAAGATTCCAAGAACATTTATAGCGGTAAAAATTTTTCGATACAAAGACAAACTTTAAAACATTTTTTTTCGGAAACGAAAACTAAATCTTTCTGTCACTAAACAAGTATCTTAATGTCATGATTTGTTATATTACCTCCCAGTCGTTTTTGTTTAATCACATTTGCTCGAAAAACTATCTCTTTTAGGGGAAGGATGCTTTAGGTCAAGCAACCCGATCAAAATCCAATTTGTTTCTTTTTAAATTTAACAGCAGGAAACTAAACTAAATACCTTATTATTTTTTTGACTGTCTATCTATATGCCTTTTCAAGAGACTTCTACACTTCTGCTTATCTGAAAAAGCATGGGTAGAGGGTGACATGAACAATTTTGAAAGTACTAGAAACAGCATTCGTAGTCTAAAACTAGCTTTCAAATTTAAAAAGTGTTCTGGCTCATTGTTTCTTATTAATTTTACTCATATTCATGATAAATATAAGGAGTTTAAATCATAGCATAGCATACAATGCTATAATTTATATGACCTTTAATTTTAGCCCTCTTTAAATCTGACGTCTTTGCAATATTTAGTTAAATAAATAAAAAAGCAAACGCAAAAAATGGTTCCATAAACTTACCTAGTGTTCTTCTTATGAGGTATAGTTGATCGACATCTGATTTTCCGGGCCACAGTGCCTCTCCTCGAATGAGTTCCGCAGCAACGCAACCAATAGCCCAGACATCGACAGCAGGTCCGTAATGAGTATCCCCTACTAGCAGTTCTGGTGCTCGATACCAACGGGTAGCTACGTAATCTGTGTAGTTTTCACCAGGACCTGCGGAGACATTAAAAAAAGAGAAAAATCTTCTTCATTTGTATACTTGGAATAAGAAATCGTTTCATCAGACAAGACTATTTTACGGCAACTTAAGTACAGCCTCGATTATCCTAACTGAATGTCACCAAGACGAATTCCGAAAACAGATTTGATCAGATAGTCGATTTTCATATTTAGGAAAATATTTTAAGTAATATAAATGAAAACTCAAGCGCATTCCAAACCAATAATTTTGATTCTTAACAAATATTTTCTCGCTCTGTGTAAGAATTTTGTTTCATTTTACAGCAAAATATCCGATATAAAAATATGGGAAAAACAAGACTTATTAGGGTAACAGTCAAGGCACAAAAAATCAAAAACGCATGCAGAATTTGTATTATAGTGTACTACTACGTGGTAGATTTAAACGAAATCTTAGCCAATGCGTTTATTTACTAACTGAAGATGGTAAGAAATTAAAATTAGACTCATTTTAGATAACAAACTTATTACTGGCATTTTCAAAAATTACTCAGTATCTTTTGCCATGAAATTTGATTTTGGTTGTGATTTATTTTACTTGGTATCACTTAGAAATGAATAGTCGAGCCTCCCGCAGCTGAGCGGTAAAGTCGCTGAATACCAGTACCTGGTTTCGATGGAAAAAGGAGGGTTGCATGGCCGTTTTTTGTGATTTTTCCCATGTGTAGCGTAGATTACGAGCCAGATTCAAAGTCTTCCACTAAGCCATCCCTTCTTTTAGGCAAATAAACTCTCGAGTGCTTTGCAATAATCAAATAAACCTAAAACCTAAAGAGGCGAATATTCGCGTCCATGGATATTGTGTTATTTTTAATTTGGAACAATGTGAAATATCATTAGTTTACATTGCTATGATGTCATTGAATCCGGATGTTGATGTGGAGATAAGTATTTAATAATATTGGAAATTGCAATTGGAAAGAGTTGTAATTCAATTCGAATATAAACTCCGAACATCGTTTCTTGCTACAGATTAACAAAGACATGTTTATTTATCGAAAGCTGCCCGCAGCCGCTTCTGAAACCATTACCCAAGCAGAAAGCTTGCTTTATTTTACTATGGCAAAGAACTCGAAGGCTATCTGCCTAAAAAGAAGGATGCCTTCGTGAAAGATTTTCTAAAGGAAACTGGGTTCTATACACGTTACACATGGGGAAAAGCGCCTATGCACCACGCCCATTATCCGAGAATCGAAACCCGGACCGCCGTACTGCTCAACGACTTTATCGCTCGGCGGCTAATGGGTGCATTAAAGGAGAAAAAAAAGGCACTTCTACGACTTTACAAAAAAACCGCTTCGAAAATGCGTGTCAGGGAAAACTCCTAGAAACTGTCAGTTTGGTAAATTAGTTTTAAAAATGCCAAAACATGAATAATTGTCTTATTTAAGATCTTTTTTAATTAGTGTTATATATATATACAGCCAACTACTACGAAAATAAAAGCCTCATAAAAACTTTTATGAACACGCAGTATAGAAACCGAATGAAAACATATATAATTCTTTGTTAGTCACTGTTCAACGTAGCACTATAAATGCCATTTCGAAAACCGAAAATGTTAAATTCACATTTCAGAAAAAATACCGTTATTACAGATGAAAAAGCCATAATTACCCACCTATGAGGTGATATTGTAGGTGCTTCCAAATTCTGATAGTATAAACATTTTATCCATTCAGGATAGAATTCTATTTCTTTAAGCTACTGGCAAAATTTTCTCTAATCTCCCCTTTAGAACCGAAAATGTTATCCACATGTTTTTATAAAGAGCTGGGGCTGAAAGCTTTTGTTAATCCACCAGCCATAATAATCTGTAATTTGTCTTTCATGCTCGTCAACAAAATGTGTCAAGCAATTTTTGAAAAAATAAGCAATGCATGATCAATTTTATCATTATTTTACTTTTATTAATTTATCTAGCTAGTAATTTTCTATTGAAGTTTAAAGTGTTAGTGTAATAAATAGAAGATGTTTTAATGTCATTCATCATATAGCTGAGCTTTAAAATAATCATTTATGGTTCATATATTTAATAAATTTATAAAATTCCCTGTTTATTATCCCCATGCTTAATTATTGAACGAGATATTGAAATAACTTTTAAGAAAATGTTATGGAAGATACTTTGAAAATTTCACAACTTACAGTGAAATAACAAGTTAAACAATTTCACTTTTTCTTGAGAAATTTTCAAAAAGAAACAGTTTTTTAACGGCATATTACATTGTATCATTAAACATTTGTGAAAAAGGAGCTGCAGTTATACGTTAATTACATTAAATTTCATACAGAAAAATGAATAAAAACACAGAGTAATATACATAAAACGGATATGTAGACTTTTGTTAGAGAACATTAACACACTCACTGAGATTTCTCGCAAAACCAAAATCACACAGCTTGACTATTCCTTCCTTTGTCAAAAGGATATTTTCAGGTTTCACATCACGATGGATACACTGAAATAAAAGTTATAAGAAAAGTTTCAGATCCGTTTCATACAGAATTCACATTATTCGTACATAATTTACACATTTCAATAAGTAAAAATATTTGTATAAAATCATGTGCAGGATTTTAATCAACATAATCCGTGTTTACTTAATATAAACGTTTCATGTGAAAACTTCATATATACACATTTCCTCCTTGCAAGAAAATCCGTCATTTGATATGTTTGAATACATATGCCTACGTAAAATATGGTCTTTTTCAGGTAAATATTTTATTGTCACACTGTTTGCAGTTATGTTGATTTTTCAGTTACTTTTCGAACAATCAGAAATACACCAAGTGTATTCATATTTTCATTTCGAAAGTAAACTTTATTTGTATTATCATCAATTATCTAAAATATGGAGTTTTCTCGAATTAAAGAGTAGAACATTTTTGTCATAATCGGGAATTTCGGATAGCAAAATATGGCAACATTTCTCACACAGTTTAGCATTTGGCGAATCGCGACGTTTTCAAACAAAAAAGAAACAAAATGATGTATCCCTGAGTTTGGTATTTCTAGATCTAGTTAATATAACATCATTTCTTGATAAATTCTCTGGAACTCATTAATAACAGGTTTGTAATTAATAAATTAAAGTTAATGTAATAGTAATTTGTAATAATAATTAAAATTCCTAATCTTTGTACCTTAATGGCATGGGTATTCAATCAAAGCATACTATCCTCCATAACGTTTTAAGAATAATTTTATTTAAAAAATTGGTGTGTGCACCACGTGATTTATTTAAGATATTAATCGTATTAAATTATACGTTCTTTTCTTGCATTTCGTTTAAAATTATTTCCTCGAATTTCATTAGAGGTATATTTCTCGTTCAATTAATTAAGTTCTCATTTCGCGGCAGGGGAAAAATATATATATAAACTCAAAATATCTTCGTTAAGAATTGAAAGGTATAGAAAAATATAAAACACCAAATACAAAAATCAGCGTTAATTTACAAAATTTTCACAGGACTAGTTTCGATGGTTTTACCGAACCATCATCTTCAGCTGCAAAACCGCAAATAAACAAGATAGGAAATAATGTTTAGATAAGATAAGAAAGCTTGGACAAGAATAAGCAAGTGGCGCCATCTGTTGGCGAAACCAGAACTAAAACATAATTTCTCTAAAAGCCGAAGGCAAATTTGGATTGGAATTAGGATCGTTAACTAGAACAGAAAGATTTTTATGAATGTGAAATGCCTCTAGAAAATCCAGTTTCTCCAATGGAAGATGTTTTTGAATAATTTTGGCAGCAGAAAAAAAAATTGAAAGTGTGATTTCGGACCAACAATGTTGAGCAACAGAAGACTTCTGTGTTTCCTTTTTTCTAACATATGCCTCATGTTGTTCTTTGACGCGAAATTTTTAAGGCTCTCTTAGTTTGGCCAATGTAAATTAAACCGCACTGGCAAGGAATCCTATAAATACCCCAGGAATTCATATCCGGAATGGGGTCCTTGAGTATAGAAGTTGGAAAATTTATTGATGGGAGAGTAAACAACCCCGAAAGTTAAATTTCTGCAAAATATGTGCAACTTTATAGCTAATTGATGGAAAGAAGGGAATGACAACAGAATTTTTATAATCTCCTAAAATAAGAGTGTGGCTTTTTAGTGTGTTGAGATGAGAATTTTTTAACTGCTTGATTAATAATGTTTGGGTGAAAAGCCCCTGTCAATAGCTATTGCTTTTAAATAATTTAGGTTCTTCATCAAGGGCTAGTTTGGAGGAGCAAACTTGAAGAGCACGGAAAACATAGGAATAAAATGAAGCTAACTTTTTTTTAGTAGTCGGATGACATGATTTAAAGTGTGGTGGAAGGCAAACCGATGAAGGTTTACGGTAAACTGTAGTACTGAAGTTGGATGTGTTACGTGTGACCAGAATGTCGAGAAACGGAAGAGAATTGCAAGTCTCAAGTTCAAAAGTGAACTGAATAGCAGGATCAATAGAATTCATTGTTGAAAGAACTCTATTTAAATCATCTTTATTACCTTCAAACAGGGTAAAAGTATCGTCTACGTAGCGGAACCATGCCGGGAAGTTTAAAGTTTCAAACAATTTTGATTCATAATAATGCATGTAGATATCAGCCAGGATGGGACTGAGGGGGCTTGTGCACATTTTGTTTTCCAAAATAAATATTACAAGCAAACTGAGGGATTAGCCATGGGAAGCCCCCTCAGTCCCATCCTGGCTGATATCTACATGCATTATTATGAATCAAAATTGTTTGAAACTTTAAAACTTCCCGGCATGGTTCCGCTACGTAGACGATACTTTTACCCTGTTTGAAGGTAATAAAGATGATTTAAATAGAGTTCTTTCAACAATGAATTCTATTGATCCTGCTATTCAGTTCACTTTGAACTTGAGACTTGCAATTCTCTTCCGTTTCTCGACATTCTGGTCACACGTAAAACACATCCAACTTCAGTACTACAGTTTACCGTAAACCTTCATCGGTTTGCCTTCCACCACACTTTAAATCATGTCATCCGACTAAACAAAAGTTAGCTTCATTTTATTCCTATGTTTTCCGTGCTCTTCAAGTTTGCTCCTCCAAACTAGCCCTTGATGAAGAACTAAATTATTTAAAAGCAATAGCTATTGACAGGGGCTTTTCACCCAACATTATTAATCAAGCAGTTAAAAATTCTCATCTCAACACACTAAAAGCCACACTCTTATTTTAGGAGATTATAAAAATCCTGTTGTCATTCCCTTCTTTCCATCAATTAGCTATAAAGTTGCACATATTTTGCAGAAATTTAACTTTCGGGTTTTGTTTACTCTCCCCATCAATAAAATTCCAACTTCTATACTCAAGGACCCCATTCCGGATATGAATTCCTGAGGGTATTTTATAGGATTCCTTGCCAGTGCGGTTTAATTTACATTGGCCAAACTAAGAGAGCCTTAAAATTTTCGCGTCAAAGAACATGAGGCATATGTTAACAAAAAGGAAACACAGAAGTCTTCGTTTGCTCAACATTGTTGGTCCGAAAATCACACACACTTTGAATTTTTCTGCTGCCAAAAATTATTCAAAAAATATCTTCCATTGGAGAACTGGATTTTTTTCTAGAGGCATTTCACATTCATAAAAATCTTTCTGTTCTAGTTAACGATCCTAATTCCAATCCAAATTTGCCTTCGGCTTTTAGAGAAATTATGTTTTAGTTCTGTTTTTTCGCCAACAGGTGGCGCCACTTGCTTATTCTTGTCCAGGCTTTCTTATCTTATCTAAACCATTATTTCCTATCTTGTTCATTTGCGGTTTTTTTGCAGCTGAAGATGATGGGTTCGGTAAAACCATCGAAACTAGTCCTGTGAAAAATTTTGTAAATTAACGCTGATTTTTGTTGTTTGACTTCTGAATTAGTATTTATTCGGCGTGTTATTGTGTCTTAATCACCAAATACACTTTAAACAATTTTAAAAATAAATTACAGTTTCTACGCAAAAAAAAAAAAAAAAAAAAAAAAAAAAAATTCAGCCAGCAGGCAAGAAAACAGGTGCACAAAATTAAAAGTGTCTTTTTAATCCCACTCGGCAAAATGACACTGAATATGCAGAAAGACTTAATTCACTATTCTGATAAGTTTCAAATGTAAACAAACATGGCTACTCTGGTAAAAAAAAATTAGGCTTAACAGCACTTAACCACCTTTTAAACTGTTTATAATTCTACAACTATTGCCTGCAAATTAACTAAAAGTATAAACACTGAAGAGGAAGATAAGAAAAACATAATTCAATCATTTTTAAAGCAAAAACTGCACAATTTACCAACATATAAGAATAAAAAAAACTTAGCTCACTGAGCCGAGAAACAGAGTGGGTATATATATATACAATTTATATGGTATATATATATATACTAAGAAGCCCGGCGGTCATACGAAATGACCGCTGTTCTAGATATTATAAATTGTAATTAAAATGATTTGCGCTCGGCTCAGTGAGCTAAGTTTTTTTATGCTTATATGTTGGTAAATTCAAACTGAATTACCCAGGGCAGGCGGCGAGGACGCCTCTTTGCTTATTGCCCCATGGGGTTTCCTTTTTCTACTTGCTTAATTGCTTAAAGTAGAGTTCAATAAAGGAAACCACTGGCGGTGCATTTCTTAAGAGCCACAGCTAGCTCAATAAAGAAAGGTGATTTAAATAATAAAATGTTAATTCACATGTCAAAGATCTTTTCGTACACAACATTTCTTGTGTATATCTTTCCATTAGTTTTAAGCTCGCCTTGCAGAGGGTCATCAATTATTTTTCATTTTACGTTCGTTCTTTCACGAACTCTTGAACAGGCAACATAAAGTTGACCATGTCCAAATGCAGGCTCAGGTAAAAAAATACCAACACGCTTAAGCGTTTGGCCCTGAGACTTATGGATGGTCATAGGAAAGAAAAGTTTTACAGGAAATTGTCACGTCTCAATTGAAACGGCAACCTTGTGCCGTGGCAACTTCACCCCATTGGCTAGTACAGTTACGCAAGCAACCAATAAACTATCGGCGACAAACAGACACTTAAGCCGCATATATATATATGGAGTAACATCATCTCCTCCGAAACGGCTGGCTCCCGGACTTAGCGAATCACACCTTTGGATTCCGCAGGTCCGTGGCACGCCATTTTGACCATTCGCGTTTTCGTGGGACTTTAATTTTAAAAACTACTTTTTCCCTACATTTTCCACTTTCTTTCTTGGGTTTTCCCTATTAGAGGGATTTGGCTATGCGCCAAATTCTTTCTTCTTGAATCTCTACGGAACGGCGCCGAGTTGAAAATCGAGACGCGTATCTTCGGATTCAAAAAAATTCTCCGAATCCATCAATACCGTTCTCATCTTCGTACGACATTAATGGATTGAGATATTAATTAAAAACTGCGGAAACGTTGTTTACGCACTCATTTTTCCGAGTGGCAATAATAAACTATC